AACTATTATCGTTAATCATTTATAGTTTTTTTTAATCGTTTAAAACGAATTTTAAAGCCTAGTTTGCGCGTTTTTAAAACCTGTCGCCCTCCCCCCTCGGCAGGTTCGAGTAGTTTGCGATTAATTATAAATTAATTTTTGTTGGTCGGTGTGTGGTTGCTTGCAAAGTTTTTCCCAGAAGCGGAGCAACGCCATACGCTTTAATTCATAAATAATACTATATGTACATATTAAAAGTAATGTTAATTTCTTTTTGAATTATTTTATTAATTGCATGCGCATTCAAACATCTAGTTTGAAATTTTGAAATCCAGCTTGTTTCTCAAATTACTTATATTTATTTTAACGGATTTTTTCTGCTTTTATGTACTATAATTTAATCAAATAAATTTAAAATTCTCGTTATTGCACAATGGGTCTCCCGTGAAAAGTATTTGAATTTTTTTAAAAAAATTATATCGATCAATACCAAGAGCAACTACTACAGGAGAAGCACAACCCAGAAGGGACTTGTGATACCAGAGGAATCAATGCCAAGACCAACTACTACAGGAGAAGCACGACCCAGGAGGGACTTTGAATCAGAGGAATCAAGCCAAGAACCAACTACTACAGGAGAAGCACGACCCAGGAGGGACTTGTGATACCAGAGGAATCAACGCCAAACCAACTACTACAGGAGAAGCACGACCCAGGAGGGACTTGTGATACCAGAGGAATCAACGCCAAGACCAACTACTACAGGAGAAGCACACGACCAGGAGGGACTTGTGATACCAGAGGAATCAACGCCAAGACCAACTACTACAGGAGGAGCACATTCCAGATAATATGCATGCATATATTAGTTTTCTCGTATTACAATAATTAGTCGTTATCTAGACTTACATTTATATAAGTATATAATTTTTTATATAATTATTTACCGGGGCCCGTTTTATGCTCATCCCTTTTAGGGAAATTTGTGTTTTTTTTTTAATCTCGTTTCAGGTGTATTTCCATGAAGATTTCCAGAGATCCTCTTCAAGACAACCAGGAAGCCGCTACCAGATTGGAGATTATGCGCATAAATGAATCATATGGAGCAAAGATAAAAATGTAAGAAAAAACTTTAATTATATTGTATTTATTATTATGGATCTTTATAATAGTGTATCGATATTATTGTATTATATTAAACTAATGTTTAGTTAAGGGTCCTTTTGACGTAAAAATTTCGGTCGAATATTTTGTAATTTATTTTCAAATTAATTTAAAATAATAATCAATTTTTATTTCATAATTATCCATCACTTTCCAGAGGCAAACCAGGACCAACAGAAGACTGCTGACGGATCAAGACCAACAGAAGAAAACTACCGGATTGGTGAATATCAAGATGAATATGAAGTGTGAGAAGACTTTAGTTATATTATTCTATTATTATTAAGTAATTACTATTAAGTAGTTATATTATTTATAAGGCGCGTTTTTCGGTCATACGTTTTTTAAAGTTGTTCGCGTATTATTAATTCGCGTTTTCACGTTAATATCTTCAGTCATACCTTTTTTGGGGTTGTTCGCGTATTTTTGTTTGAGCTCAAAGGGGGGTGGCGTCGTGGAAGAACCTTTCATTTTTTCCGCGTTTTTCTTTACATCAATTAATTAATAATTGCGAATCACAAAATGATTCGCCCATAAGCTTCATAGGCTGGGAAACTATGAAGTTTTTTCCAAGTAATTGCATGGTGTATTTGGGGAGTACTTCTGTACTCTGGGGGGTACATCATGTGGATGCTTGTTTTATAATATCACAATCACCGTTACAAAATCACATTACAATTTTCATATTAATATTTCATACAATTTCATATTTATAAAAACTACACACTACACACCGAGAGGTTCTTTCGCTTTTAAAAATCGAAATTTTTGGGTACATTAGGTCATCTCGCGGGGTTCGTTTCGCGTTACATTCGGTACAATTCGTTTATTAGTTAAGTATAATTAGTCAATAAGTTAGTTTAGGTGGATTAGGGCTGCAGAAGTCGTTGCATTTCTGTGGCGACACCACATTAAAAAAAACGCGCCTAGCAACTCTACCTCCTGGGTGGCGTGGAAAAGAGTTGCATCTAGCTATAAATACTATTGTCAAAATTAGATAATTAGATAATTATTGTAATTAATATGTATCACTATAGGTTGCACGCATTGTTGATAACTATAAACTTATATCCAAAAGTCTTACAAATAAAAAAAAAAAAAAAAATCTTTACTTTTAAATTTGTTACTTTCCAGTTTTTTTTGCAAAGCTTATAAGTGAACTTTTTTTTTTAAATTCACTTTTAATTATTAATAATTGAAATTTTAAATATAGCTACTAGTACTTTACTGCATTTTATATTCTTCAATCAACTATAAATTATTTATGAACTCGTAGAAAAAATTTTTATTCTAGTTAAAAGTATAATTATCAGTATCAATATTTTAATTAATTTACACAGAAGTATCTGTATATATGAATATATTACGAAACTAGTTCAAAGTGACATTTAACCTTGAGGCAAGTTGCATAAACTTCCCGAAATGTGTAAAAATTAACTGAATAAAATTTTCAACAAGTTATTTAAAAAATAATGCTATTGCTATCAATTAAATCTAAACATTGCGATTTCCGAAAGAATTTGCTCAAATATATTTCTATTAATTGTAGTTGTAATTGTATTAGTTTAAATTTCAGACATGCTTGTATGTTCTAAAATTGTAGATTATTATATTAAATTTTAGTAAATTGACAATGTTTGACTTATCACATCATAAAACCAATTTTTTGAATGATTTTTTAAACTTCGATGAATTTTTAAAATTAAACCACTTGCCGTAGAAACGTATAATTTCAGTATGCTGTTCAAGCTCATGATATATCTATAAACATAAAAAGTTTCATCATTTTTTTTATTCTACAGTTAATTTTGAAGAAACCCAGCCGATCTTTGTCAAAAACTAATCAGTACGACTCCCAAATAATATCTTTCGAATAGTTTTTCAATTTTTAAAATCGATTCAGAATTTTTAGCTGGAACGTGTAATTAGGAGAAATAATTACAAAAAACAGGCTCAGCCGATCGTAGCAAAAATTTAACCGACGCGAGTTTCATTTTAAATATTTCAACTCTTTTAATATACTTTTTTCAAATTTGGTCTCATTCGATTCAGAATGGCTTGAAACGTCGAAAACACATAAAATTAGCTAATAGAATTTTTTGATAAAAACATAAACTTGTCCCTCTGGAAGGTAATACTAATTTAGTTCGTTATACCTACGTTTGATTTCCACTTGCAGAGTATTGGACAAGACTTTTTGATATCCTTCTAGATGATCTCGAAATTTGTAAGAATAATTCAAATAAATCTGTATCGTATTCTACATCTTCGATATTTTTTGTGTTCCATGCCGATGGTGAATCGACTGCTAATTTTAAGACATTGACCACTCCTACTAAATCAGGTGCGCGATCCGCAAAGGCACGTTTTAAATGATCAAATATTACCTGAGCCTAAAATAGATGAAAAAAAATTAAATTGATTATACAGATTTACATATAAATACATATTTATCGTAAATAAAAATGGCAATAAAATAGCTTCAATATTTTATTTATCATGAACTAATACAATTTTTAATTGCAATTTAAGTAAATAGTTTCTACATTAACTCACAGAATTTATATAATGTACATAATTATAAATATTTTGAAATAAAACTCATCACTAATCGTTAGTAAAACTAACTCATCACTAAAAATCGGATAAAGTTTAAAACTACCAGAAAAGAGATGATCAACTTGATGACTTGCAGTACAAGTATGTAAATCGTAAGAATAAAAGTTCTTCCATACTAAAACCTCCTGGTATTTTTGGCATACTTTAATAAAAAATGGATACAGTGTGTGTGCAAATTTTTTGTCACCAGGAAACGTTTCAACCAATTTGAATGACTTATAAGCATTCGATCCCTATTGAATGTATCAACAGTTGACTCGTTTTAGAAAAATGTAAACTCATTTGGATTGTATTTTCTCAAACCCCAAATTATTTAAATCAACTTCATTGATTTTTAAAATTTAGGTATGCCACTAATTGATTTATTTACCCCTGAATATATTTTCAGTTTCAGGAACAATTTATAAAATTTAAATAGTATAAATTTAATAAATATAAATAGAGAAAATGGATTGATTATTTGCTAAACTCTTAATACTGATGGTAAATATAACCATATATGGTTATATCTAAAGCATTATGCAACCGGCAATTTTAAATTGATCATCTCCTTCTAATAATAATTTATGAGTTGAGTTATTAATCCGTATCACAAGTTTGGTCAATCGTTTGGAGAACTTCATAGTAATCAGACTTGATAGGGCATCCTCTAACAATAATCATCCCCGGCATTTCATGAATCATATCAATACGTACGATTTTGTGTCCATTCAAAATGCACGCTCCATTAACTGGCAACGGTGGCCATCTACCATCAGTAACAGCCAGAACATCTCCAAAAACCGACATAGAATTTACAATATCATCATCGGATATCTGATCTGGGACATGGTATAAGGTGATGGTCATCAGTCCACAGGCTCCGTATCTCCATTTCAAGTCGAATATGTTTTGGCCGATTTGCATAGTTTTGAGTTCTGTTAATTCCAAGGCGGCGTGGTAGCATTCTCTTGGAGAATTGAAGACGAGGGCGAGCAGACCATCCCTGATGCGCATTTTGCGCACGCTCTCCACGAGGCCTTCGGATTCTACGAAGATGTGGTTCCTTGCCTAATTGGAATAATGATTAATAAGCAAAGCAAAGCAAAGAAGCAAATTAACAAGCAAAGCAAGAAAGCAAAAATATATAACTAAATGTAATACTAATACAATGATATACTACCCAGTAAACACCGTGTGATTTGAGCGGCGGTAGCAACCTGAAATCCACAAGCTTGCCTTCAGCGATGTGGAATGGAAGTGGCATCTATGTGGATTTCAAATTGCTACCGCGCCGTGTCGCTCGGTGTTTACTGGGTACTGTACTAACTTCCAGTGACGGGTATAGCTCAGAATTTGAATTGTTGATTTAACTTGAACAGAATTAAAAGAATGGAGGCAAGAAGTGTAAAAATATGAAAAAGATAACTATTGGATAAAAGAAGAATAAAAGAAGAAAATTGATGTGAAGAAAGTATATGATTATTTTAAATTATGACTCTAGTTATGAAGGGTTATGTCTGGAGCATAACTCTCTACGGATCGGAACATGGGCTCTAAAAAAGACCGACAAAAACTATGAGTGTTTTAAAATATGGTACTGGAGACGAATGAAAATGATAAAGTGGACAGATAAAGTAACAATTGAAGAAGTTCTGAGAAGAGTTGTCGAAGAAATTTATATTTAATTTTATTTTCTTAAAAGGTAATCAAACTGGATCGAATCCATTCTGTAAGAAGAGTGCCTTCTTCTTGAAATTGTCCAGTGTGAAATAGGAGAACTAAAAGAACAGTGAAGAAAAAGAATGCATATGATTGATGACTTACGCGAGAAGAGAAAATGCAGGGACCTGAAAAACGAAGCACATGATCAGAAACCACAAAAACAGGTGTTTGAAAAGGTAAGAGTGAATTATTTGGGGGAATAACAAACAGGGAAAAGGAAATCACTGATTTGGGGTGCTCTCATACCATGGACCTGCCTTCGGGCAGAATACAATTTATTATTATTAAGACCTTAGTCACATGAATCTTCTGACGTATTATAAGTGCATTTCATTTACGTGAAACTTAAAGACCTAATGGTTATAAAAAATTATCACTTTTAAAAATTTAAATTGCAAAAACAATAACAATTTACGCAAAGGTGTTTTCCTATTCAAAATGAATTACACACAGCACGCAAAAAGATGTGCCATTGATTACTTATTTTGGTAATTAGTTCAGTAATTAATATATTTTTATAAACATATAAACCAAAATTTTTTTTCAGACATTTATCTGATTTCCTGTGGCTGGATGACAGGTTGTAATTAAAAAAAAGCAAGAAGATAAAAAAATCAAAAATTTACACTTAAAGCTAACTATAGTTAACTATACTATACTTGATCAATTTTACACAACCCAGCATTATTATTTGGATATGTTTATTTTTAGATTTTCAAATTAGATTTGTTCTGTTTTGCTCACATGATTATTGAATCTATTAATCATTATGCATGGTTTGAGTTTTTTTTAATAATTTGTAAGTCTTATTAGCTGAAAAAATGTTAAACAGGGTCTCAATACTTATGGAAAATTTGTTAAAAAAAATTAAATATTTATATATTTATACAAAATATATAATTTGCCTGTATGTCAATCTGTGTCTATCAATCTTAATATAGGTATAGTAAAAATTAATTGTTAAATAATATAAAATAATATAAAAATGGTTAAATAATATACTTTTTTAAATCCATTTTTTAACATTATGTGACTTTACTTTATACTTGGAGTATAAATCCATTAAAATGTATAAATAAAAAGTGTAAATATTGCAAATTGTAATTATTGAAAATCAGTTTTATAATATATTCTATTCTATGTGTATTATATAATCTTCAAATAACTACACTTGGAATAAAATATAATTATAAAATAAGTATATAATAATCGATAATAATTTGTATCAGAAATAACGAAATAACTAAAAATTCAACTGGGTATTTAATTCATATAAATTACGGATATCATCACTCAAATAGGTATATAATTTATATTTAAATTTTATTTCCTTTCAATTATTTAAAAAACAATTATCACAATAATTTTATGTGTGTTTTTGTAAGTGTGTGATATGTTTTTGTAAGTATGTGAGCGTGAGTTAATTATTATAATTGAACTAAAGTCCTCAAAGAATGTTATTTCTTTTAATTGCTATTGACAAATAAATAATAAAAAAAATAAAATATTGTTTAAAATTTTGTAAAAAAAGACTATATACAAACACAAATACATTTATGTATTACGTAATTATTGGTTATGTAAACTATAAGAAATATAGCACTCTTCTTTACCTGCAGAACGCAATTACCACTAAGTACCTTTATTTCTTTTAGGTATGGTATATATATATATATATATATATATATATATATATATATATATATATATATCTTATAATGTATAAGTTGGGACAAATATATATCCATTGAAGTGTATTATTTTTTTTACTTACCCAACAATAAATTTGTTCCTGATTCGGACACAATTGGTCATAGTCCAATCTGCCTCGGACGACACCCAAAACATTTTGATTTTCCATGAAACACACGAGTGTCGAAGAATTATCAAAATTTGATATCATCACGATTACATATATAATATTTCTTTATGCATTGAACAATGACGAGAGCGCAACTGAAGTAGTTTTCCTCCAAGTGGAATTAAATTCACAATTCGATGAAAGAGGTAGGTTAATCAGAGGTAGATTTGGCGGCAAAAATACGGGTCGCGGGCTTACATTAATTATTTGTTTAATTGGACTTTTTTGTTGCGATTTTTTATCAATACGTATCACATAACTGCCAACATGGTTCTTTAAAACTAACAGAAATTTGTTCTGAATTGACACGAAATGAGTAATTAATAAATGTTTAATATACACTCGTATATATATATATATATATATATAGCATGTTATTCTATGTGCAAAACTTATTAAATTTCAATTAATTATTTTTAATATTATATAAAATGCTAGTCTTTTATATTAAAAATGTTAGACGTTAGACCTTTTCAAAAGAGTTTTTGTGAGTATCAAGATTAATAATCTTATTATGATTACTGAAAGCCTCTTCAAACTTAAAAATATAGTATTCAGTAAGTATAGTAAATACTAACATCAATTAAAATTAGCATTTATAAAGTAAAATATGCAAAATTAAATTTCATTCATACACACTTATATTATAAAATAAAATAATATATTTGTAATGATTATAAATAAAATTATAAATTACTATATAACGGTCAGAATACCAACAACGTAGTTAGTGTTACTCATAGCTACAATACATTGTAATCTTGCAGTAACCTTGCAAGCGTTGATAGAATTCCTTTTGAAACCACAAACTGCGCCTTAACGAATAAGTAAAGCGTAGTTTCTAACAAAATTTCTGAAACTAACTGTAAATAAGTCTATATATGAATACTATGTTACTAAAATTACTAGTATCCAAGTAAAAACAATATTTAATATCGCATAATAAAGAACTTTTGTCTCAGATTTTTTCTTTAAAATTAGGAAGAAAATAGTTTTGGTAAACTTAACAACATACAAAAACTCAGTGTTAACAAAAAGTTGCTGCAGTAACATATAAATATCATTTCATAGGGTAAATTATAAAACTGCAAAACATAGAAAAAAGTGCATATTTGGAAGTTTCAGAGGTTCCTGATTATTTTGGCATACCTTAGAAAAATGGATGTACATAAGTGTGTATGTATGTATGTATGTGCGTAGACAACTTTTCGCCTAACACGGATCAACCGATTTGAATGATTCAAAAGCATTTGATTCTATTCTATTGATTATTATTCCTAGAAATGATCATCAGACATATGATCATCAAATTATTGGATCACTTATTATAAGTTTTAAACGATAGATATTTAAAGATTTCAAAAAGTTAAAATAAGAAAGTGTAATATGTTCAAAATTATCAAAAATCTATTTTTTTCACAATTCTAAATAACGGTACGATAAGTTCCAGCAGTTTTCCTGAAGGCATGATGCCAAGACCATGTTTTTATTTCTTTTCGAATAGTAATCAGAACTTAATGTTTAATTATCTCTAGTAGCTTTTAAGATGATACTTCTTAACTTAATGTTTTTAGTAGACAACCCAATGGTTCTATAATTGATCTATATTTTTCAGCTCTTTTTTCTAATAGTCATAATAAATTATTAGCTTAATGCTGAAATGGCGGAAAGCACTGTTTTCACTCGCAAAATATTTTCGTTTATATTTACAAAAGCGAACGCATATCACTTCTGTTTGATTCCTGCACCGGCGACTTCGTGATTATCTATTTGTTTATAGAAACCATGTTTATAATAATTAAAAATTTTAATTAGACGAATGTGAATCAGTTTTTATCACAACTTATTTCATAATGTTTGTCATTGTGCTTCGCTTATTGTTTAGAATTGGTAGGTGTCGTTTTACACATAACAAAGCGAGTAGCATTGATATCGAGATATATTATTATCATTTTATGTATAAACATGAGGGAATGAATTTCATTATATAAATGCACATAGTGACAAACAAAAATGATAAAATAATTATTAAATAATTTGTGACTTGAAGATAAAGAAGTTAAAAATATAAAAAGAACTAGTGGTGCATGGCACTGTGCCTTGGGAAATTGCTGAACTTTCCGTATTAAAAATTAAAAAATTTTAAAAAACTAATTTTTTTTGAAAACTGAAAAAAATATTTTCGAGAAATTTTAAATGTTTAAAAAATAGATTTTTTTAAAAAAATTTGAACATTTTATTATATTTTGATTTTTTTTAAAGCAATTACGCTGTTTTAGAGACGAAATATCGCCGCATTGTAGTCTAATAGATAAACATTGGTACGAATTATGAAACCCATATAAATGTAAACAAAAGTACTTTTTATTGAAATCTATAAAATATTTGATAATATGATGTCTTACGATTATTTTTGACCGCCAAGTGGCATTTTTTTACTTTTTTTGGATCTTCGAAACCGCTAGGCCTGCCTTTTCAAAAATTTAATTAAATTTTAATTTCACCAATACTAATAAAATGCTTTTTAAATCATTTAGGTCGGACGCTTCGTTATCTTAAAAACTAAGTTACCATTCTTTGCACTTTTTGTCAAGTATCTTCAAAACAGCTGGACCTGCCTTTGCCAAAAACCAATCAACGCGTCCTCCCATGAAAACGAATGGAATATTTTTTGAATTATCCAAATTGGTTGAACCGTATTCTTTAAATCGTCAACAAAAATTTGTATCCGTACATACGCACACACACTTATATCCATTTTTTCTAAGGCATGCTAAAATATTTAGAAACCTCTCAAACTTAAAGATATATAAAAAAACCATTTTCGCGATTTTTTTGCGATTTCTATAAGTGCTTATATTTGGGCGACGAACTTTATCTATGTTTATCGACAAAAACGAAAACATTAAACAGAACCTAATCGAACTGCATCGTATTGGAATGCTTCCAAAAACCATATCTCATATTTATCATTCATCAGTTTTTAATATATATAATATACATTCTGAAAATGAATTGCAAAGTTTAAAACTATGGTTTCTAACTACATAAGAAAATTTTACATTTTTTAAAATCTTGAAAATTTTAAAAACTTAGTATATTTTTGAACATTATAGTGGAATAATATATTTTTACCCTTTTCGCCTGATCTCCAAAACCGCTTGACTTGCCTTCATGAAAATCATGAGATACAAGTAAAATATGTTTTGTATTATTAAAATCGGACAATCCGTTCTCTTAAAAACTGAGTTACCGTTTGTGGCACTTTTTTCCCCGTATCTTCGCAACGTCTAAACCTGCTTATGCCAAAAACTAAGCAGCACGTCTCCTTATCAACAGCAATCGAATGTTTTTTGAATCGAATCGAAAATTGTAATCGGTTGAAGCATGTTTCCGAAATCGTCGACGAAAATTTGTATCCGCATACACACGCGCACACACATACACACACACACATACATCCATTTTTCCTAAGGTATGCCAAAATGATCAAAAACTTCTGAAACGTAAAGATATATAGAAAATTTCATTTTTGATTTTTTGCGATTACTATAACGTATCCCACGGGAAGTTAAAAAATTCCAGATCTATATCTGAATGATATTTTTAACTTACCCTATCTATGCGAGTTTGTATTTCAGGTTTTCCAAAACTTGCAAAATACAGAGCAGAGCAAGCATTTGGCATCGCCCATGTCGTCAGTGAGGCGCAGGAAGAAGTTTTATCCACATTTCTATTTGTTAATAAATTTAACCAACGAGCTCCTTGAATCACTAATAAAGCATTGTGAATAATCCTAAAAAATACCGAAAAAGTAATATGTAAATAGCTGTTTGTTCAAGGCGAAAAACTATGCAAAATACTGACTATAATAACTTAATGTTGTAAAATTTCAAAATCGAAATCTAACAATTGGTGTCAGAATGCCTATTTATACTTTATGGTAAAAATCTTTATTTATATAATAAACATATGCTGGATAGATACAGAAAAAATATTTTTGGTTGGGAAAGCTCAGTTAGTAATATGCCCGACTCAGGCGATGGGAATACTAGCGCTAGAGTCGGGATACTAAATTCGAGTCCTGGCACTGACATAAAGAGTCATTTGTTGCATTGGAATGAAGTAGAATTTGAATTGTTGATTTTAGATAGAAAATAATTAGAAGTTAGAAATAGAAGCAAGGTTAGAAAAAAAAGAGTGAAGATGTGAGCTATAAAGAAAATTAGATAGTATAGGATATATAAAGACAGTTTATGATATAATGAAGGTAGCATAGCATATAAAAGAATATAGTATATGATATGACAAAAATAGTATATGATATAATAAGTATAAAATGTAAAAAAATGTTGAAGGCTTGACTAAATTTTCTAAATAATATATATGTATCAGAAGTAGATCAAACAAAACTAGGATGGATCTTAAGTAAGATTTTTGCAACATACATTCTTTGTAAATCAAGTTATTAGTTATAAATAATTAAATAAAAAACTCCTGTAAATGGAGATAATATTTTTGAAATTGTAATAACGCACATATTAATCAATAAGAAAAGAGAGAACTTCAATACATTCAATCAATTCAACTTCGTTACTATAACTTTACAACTTTTTTGGTTTAAATGTATATTTTGTTAAATAATATAAAACATATTATTATCAATCAATAATATTATTCTTTTTTTTTCAATTTCACCAAGTATATTATTTTACCAGTATTAAAATTTAGAAGATAGCATTCATAGTAATTTTATAGTTTTTATGGGGTAAATTTTTATCTCATTTTAATACTTGAAAGTTGAGATAATTTATTTGTATTTGACAATATGTTAAATATAAAAATATCTTAGCAATGTAGGATTTTTACTCCTAAACTAATTCGTACACGCAACGACTTGTTCTATGTTTGCTCTCTTATTTTAATATAAGGGAGGTTCAAGTTTATCCGAGAATATTTCTTTCAAAAATAGTATTTTCTATTATAATTCTATAATAATTACCTTGTAGGATACGATCTTAAAATAGAATTAAGTTGTATAA